ACCATCTTTTTCGTTCGCTGCAACACCATCTTAATGGAAAAACGGATGCAAATGTGGAAGATGTTAAAGAGGACATCGACATGTAGTTTTGCTTCGAAGCCAAGTGATTTCTTTAATCAGGTCATTAACAACCTGATTGTAAAATGGAAAAGCATCATCGATAAGAATGGAGACTCTTTCATTTAATAAATGTTTTGTTTTTATATATAGAAGTTGTTCGGGTTTTTTCATCTAAATAAAAGCGACATTAATTTCTTGACGACCTAATATTTTCTATGATAATACTTAGTTTTACGTTCATGTCGTTTACAAGTTCCACTTGAAATTGTGGAAGTTAGTATTTGCACTTTTAGATTCTAAAATACATCATATTTAAGAAATTGAATTGCCTGGTATCGCACTTGTGGTACTAACCCTCGTATGGAATACTAAGTAGCACGTTACAATAACTCCGGTTAGCCTTTTTCTGTCGTTTGTGAAAATAACAATACATTATCCTCTACAAAAGTACAAAGCTAACCTATTATGGTAATTCATCCAATGATTTTCCTTACTATTAATGAAATATTCCACATGTTATAAGAATTCGATGTGGGTTGACATATTAAACATTGAAAATCATTAAAATTTTCGCGTATAATAGTTATTGATTTAAATTACAGATTTTCAGTCTCCGCTTATCTGAACCTGTACTATACTTTCTCCTATAAATACAGTAGAATGCTATTAAGCGCAAAACTGGAGGATAGGCTATCTGTGCTGTGCCCACTATAGGGCTCGGACCTCTAATTTTAGCATTATAAGCATCCAATCTTACCGTCTAGGGCATAAAAGAATATTTTAAGTCCGTTTAGATCACTGCTATAGTTCGTAATATACTTTCACACATATTAATAATCCAGTATCGGTTCAAATCAAACAGATTTATTAAGTTTTGTACAAAAATGCCCCCCCCCACATTAAACGCCACGTTTTCCAGCTATTAAGATAGTTTATACTCTAAGCGTTTATTTAATTGTACGATATACTCAAAGCCCGATAATAAAATACCTACTACAACTAGTCAAATAAAATCGAAATGTTTACCATCTTATAGCTTTGATTTTTCGTTTAGAATAAAAAAAAACATCGGTTCCTAAATTGCCATTTTCTTCGAGGAGAGAGAGAGATAGATAAAAAAGACCAACCTGAGAATAACAGACTAAAATAATACCTCCTTACCAACATGATTTCCCCAAACAAGAAAACTAACAATGAGAATTTTGAGTTTTATCCATATTTTAACGTTACGACAGGCAATTATTTTGATACTGTTCAAACAGAGGTGGCGACACCCATGAGAATGCATATTAACTTCTAGGTTCTGATAGGGCCATCCCACAGTTAATATTTCCCTTATAACTGTACGTGTTTTAAAATGTTTTCTTTCACTCGAAAAGAAGTAAAGAGGTGTACACGCTTAGGCTTAAGTTTTTAAAGAAATGACCAATTCTAGGAAAGCAGACGATTCTCAGATATCCAATGCGATAAAAAGGCAGTACGAGAACTACACACAGCATGTTACAATCAACAATTTAATCACAATGCCAGTGGTTACAAACTTTTTTTTTTAATGAGAAACTTTTATACACACAGACAGCAGACAATACATGGTTTACAAACAACTACACAATACAGCATAAAAAGTTACGAAAGTCATAAAAAAGAATTACTTGCACATAAAATGTTACATTTAAGTGTAGACCTGATGCTAAAAATATGTCAATGTTCACCTTTACTTAGCTGTTCAACACACTGACACGTGGAAATATTGTATTATTCACAACTTTAACAGTAGTCTTAGCGAAGACTTAAAATGCATTGTTAAAAAAGATTTTTTTTTATATAAGTGTGTAAGATTTGTCTTTGTAACTTTACTTCAGTAAATACATAGAAAATTCTGTAAAAAAACTAGTGTGCGATTAGGGCTTTTATCTTAATGTCCCGTGTAAGTGAAATATGAGAAGCACAGTAAGACAGTTATGGGTGATAAGCACATTGAGCAAACAGCTGCCAGGTAAGACTATAGAACTGTACATCAAGCATAACTACAGCTACACAAAAGTTGACTTATAAATTCAAATAAAAAATAATGATTTCTGAACATGCAAGGGGGAAATACTGACTTGACGTTTGGAATGAAAAACGTGTAATTCAGAATATAGCTATCATTTATCCCCCACAGAGTGGCCTGGGGGTTAGCCACGAGCAACATGAAATACAACATCCATATCAAAGTGAGCTGGTACACCATGTCTATACTTATGACCACAAAATCAAAATGAGTAGATATTTGGTCAGTTCGGATCACAAACAACTAATTATGTGTTCCTCATTCCTTTTTCTCACTTTCTTCTTTAGTTTTCTCCTCGGTTCCCTCGTCATTGTTCTTTTCTTCTTTCTTCTCATCAACATCTTTTTTTTCATCTTTGTCTATCTCTTCAGCTGGAACTTCAGTTTCTTTATTCTCTTTCTCCTTCTCTTCTTCCTTGACTTCTTCTTTCTGCTCTTTTTTCGGAAGATGAGTATTGAGCCCAAGTGTCTTTGTCATCTCTTCCCAGTCTTGCCAGTAGCGTTCTTTCATCCTTTCCAAGAAGTTAACCAGGTTGGTGCACTCAGTATCCATATATTCTTTCATGTCCCCAAAAGGAACGTAGTAGAATTGGCACAAATGAGCAAAGGCCACACAGTCCAACTAGAAATATGAGTATGTAGTAAGTAAATATACAACGATTCATAAAACACACAAATCTGAAAAGAAAAGGTTTTTAGTTTAGACTTTGAGTTTAATCTCTTCTGTTAAAAAAAAATGAATTAAAACTATTATGACCTAAAAGAAGTCAGTAAGATTTATTGTTCTAATAAACTACCAGTTACATAACCGATTCAAAAAGATGGTAACATCAGTGTCCTGTTACACCAATAGCAATTTTTCTGCGGACTTACATAAACTGACTGGTCTTTAAATTAGTCATACAACATTTAAACAGTTAAATCTATCTGTATATCAGAAACTAGCTTACAAGATGGGGTTCATCCCCGAAGAAGAAGGGTTTCTCCTGAAGATATTCTGAGAGTGCCTTCAAGTCATTTTTCCCGAACTGCAAAATTTCTTCGTTACTGTGACGTCCAAGACCGTGACCAATGGTCTTTTTAACGTTCTACGAAATAAGATTAAAGAAAAAAAACAATTTTTTTTATTAATTTATAAAATAAAACAAAAAAGCTGAAAAATTCGCATTGTTATTAAACATTATTCGAGATATATGTACTTGGTTTAGATGTACACAGTGTGGTCACAAGTAAATAGGCACCACCTTTTCAGAAAAAATGAAATTTTTCAGTCATATTTACATGAATTGAT